AGAGAGAGAGAGAGAGAGAGAGAGAGAGAGAGAGAGAGAGAAAGAGAGAGAGAAATAGAGAGAGAGAGAGAGAGAGAGAGAGAAAGGATGGTGGTCGCCCACCTCATTTGCTGGCCTTGTTCAATCTTGTCGTCGCCAGCCTCAGTGCCTCCTGCATCCTAAATGCGGAGAGCTGATGCCTGTTACCGCTGGGAATCACACCTGTGATGCCCTCCACGTGGGTCACACCTGCGAAGCCGACCAAGGGAGCTATGGAGGATAGGGAACAACGGGCGGCAACGAGTCAGGGACGAGGACGACAATGGGTGGCGTCGTGAACGACGCGCCGGGAGCAGCAAAAACAGGGACCGGGAAGGGGAGGGAGGCAATGCAGAACGACTTCCAAACGGTCAGGAACCAATGGGTGCCACTCCACTAGTCACGCAAAGTCCAAGTTCAGAATGAATGTTCCCCTAAAACATGGGAAGATAACCCGCCTTTTTTTGTGGTAGGGTGAGCAGTGGAGTGAGGCCGACTCGAAAACCCGAATTCGAGGTCGGCCAACGTCTGGAAGTGCCACAAAACCGAAAAGTTTGGCACTTCGGCGGGAATCTCAAGGAGGCACTGAAAAAAAAAAAAGGGCCTACAAGTTCTGGTGGTGGGAAAGGGCGGGGGGGGAAGGGCTGGGAGGGGGGCAGGTGGGACTACAAGGGGTAGTGAACCACGGTTACCCGACTGGATCCTCTACCCGCCCATACCCACCCGCATTGTTTTTTTTTGCCCCCCGTGCCTGTCCGTACCAGTTTTAGTTTTCTATTTGGCTGGCCCTACCTGCCCGTGATCTCCATAAAAAGTAACTGTGCCTACCCGTCATCACCAAAAAAAACAACTTTGCCTGCCCATAACCAACGCCCCCTTCGAAAGGGGCACCCAACCCTACTCGTGACCTGGCAATTACAGTTGGGTGCGGTCGGGTATGGGCAACGGTTACCCATTTCCGCTCTCTGCTGGCCACGCATGCGCATGAGTAGTAGCTGCCCCGGTTCAAACCCTGGCAGTTGCAACATCCCGGATGATGAATAATATAATCCGGGAGTGGTGCGGGGCGGCGGGGCAGCGTGGGCACGTGGTGCGCGCGCGTGCGGCGGCCTTGACGCCACGAGTTGTGACGGTGACGGCAACTCACTTTTTTCGCCATGTGTTAGTCTCTGCACACTCCCATTGTTCTCCATTTTTTCGCTGTTTCCGCTCTGCCACCCTACAAAACCCTGAAAATCCCAGTATTGAGATTACACTGATTTATCCTTGTTATGGGAGGGTGGGCAGGTTGGAGCGGGGACAGTTCCCGCTCTGATATCTGTGTGACGGACCCGCCGGGATGGCGGTCCGTCAGGATCAAGAGGAAGGGTTGAGGGGGAGGAGATGGAGATGAAGCTGGAAGGGACAGCGCAGCTCCGACGCGGACTCAACACGCACGTACTCCAAAAGTGCAGAATGAAGAATAATCTGAAAAGCAGACAACGGCTGGGGTATACCCCCAACGGACTGACCGGACTGGACTGGACTGGATTGGTACCGACAATGGTACGGGGCAGGACTGGACTGGACTGGAACAGCACACGGCCTGGTCCCACAGGCCAAACTGGCAAATAGCCAAATAGGCCCTGGTTATAGGCCAGGGCAGATGGAGGCGCGCTGCACTCCTTGTGGGCTCGGTGGTGTTCTGCTGTGTCCATGAGGTGGGTTTCTTGGACGCAAACTGCATCCGACCAACCTCTGCCTTCTACTCCCTTAATCTGCTCCCATATGGCTTGTTTTTTTGAAAGGGAGGCTGAGGCGAGGCCATTTACATTCAAGAGCGCAAATCGAAATCGGCCTCCCTCTTCCCCTTTGCCCACTCTTTATCCCTTCCATACAATGCGCTAATGAAATCCATTTTTTGGCCTCTTTTTGCTCAGTTCCTTAAAGACGAGCCCAGTCCATGGCCTCCCAATCCCCTGACCCGAAAGAGGTCCCTCCCTAAGGATCCTAATAAAAATACCCTTTACCTCCTCTCCCTACCATGTGTCACTCGCCCAGATTTTCAGGAGCTGCAGATCGAGCAACGAGCACCTTGAGACCCATTTCAAGCTCATGTCCTTGCTCGGGTTGCAGAAACTGCAAAGATGGAAAATAAATAGGACGCCACTAGCGGTTGTCGCCAACAGAAGGCATGAACATAGACTGCTTTCAATCCCACCAGAGCATCTCTTGTCGTTATGTAAACATCTCAAGCAACTACCTTCACAACGATTTTCGAGCATACTACGACTGCAATCCATGATGGCCACAACTTCAGAAGTGAACTACGTTTCAAAGGAATGGAAATCTATGCAGAATGTGTGCGATGCAGATGGATATTGGAAGACACTCGTCACCTGTGGCTGTCATGCCCTGCTTCAAGGAGAATCTGGGATTGGTGGATTCAGCATTGGACCATGATCACCAGGCAGATATTTACCTGGTCTGATGACTGGATATTAAATGGTAATTTAATGTATTCAAAAAAAAATAAAAAAAATGCATCCGCCCAAAAAAACAAAAAAAAAGATTCAACCAGCTCAGAGGAAAAGGATTGGCTTTATGTAGCTCAGGCTATCCGGGCTATTATAATGAAGATCATTTGGGCTGATAGGAATGACCAGTTATTCAGTAAGAAATTCAAATCTGACAATACCATCAAAATATACGGTTACTCAACAGATTAGAATCACAATTCGCATAGCCGTTTCTTTCTGGAATATGTATACAAGCGATTGGCTTCACAGATTAAACAGGGGCAGGTATTCCGAAGTCAGGAATTGGTTTTGGGACACTTGGGGGAGGGACTCGAGATTAGTGAAGCTTACTGCGGAAGGCAGGCTATGCTTCTCGCCCCGGCTCCTAACCCCAACCGGTCTAACTCCCCTCGTTGATTCGTTCAAGAGATGAGGAGATTGTAGGAAACAGACAATTTCCTTAACACTCTTTAAGCAAATAGTGGGTCTCGCGTAACGCTCCCGCGAGAGCCTGCTTTCCACTGTTGGGAAACGAGGTGGGATGGGCAGGCGGGCCCGACAGATACCGCGTAAGCCCTTGGCGGCGGGCCGAATCGACGACGGGCGTTGGGATTGCTGA